CTTTTGGCGCCACAGTCTTCTTTAGGAAAGACGTTCTGGACGACTTGATGAGTGGAGAACAATAGAACAGACTAATTAAAGCTATCTCGTGTCTGGAGAGTTTGATTCATCGGACAGTAGATAGAGAAATGGCCGGTAAATAGACGGTTATGTAGTCAGACTCGTATATCTGAGGCGTTGAAACTGACACTACCCGCTTATGCGTTTCTTTATCTGATGTACATTTGCAATTTGCAATTTGCAAACATCGACGCGAATGTACAGTTTAACTTTTGTTTCACGTTTGTACATAGTTTGAGGCATTTTGCGACTTTCTGGCTTTACAGGTGTTGTTTTAAGGGACTTACAAAAAGACGGCGGATTCTGGAATGATTCATCAGCCCTTTTAGCAAAGCGCTTTGAGGCAAGAGGAAAACAAAATTACCACGTACTGCCATCTGTGACAGTTACTAGTGTCTGGCTCCTGTCACGTACGTCGTAACACGCTAGATTTGCGACTGACAAGCACTCTTGCGACAGTCGTCAATTTGTCTTGCGATATGTCTTGTGAAATTCCTTGTCGTGCGAAATACACAGATATAGTTCTAGACTATCTATACTCAGATACGGTATCTGTAGATCTATACCCAGATACGCTATCTGTTTCCAGATAGGTTATCTATACCCAGGTACGTTATCAATGTCCAGATTGTTATCAGTGCTCAGATATGTATCTCGTACTCATCAGCCTACCATTGCAGCCGATGGGACTTCTAATCACATATTGACTTGTGACAACCCCTACATGCTATACATAGGGATATATATTAAAGACTGTATGGATATTAGAAACTCCTTACACGATTGTATAAGTTGAGACCTATCTCATACTAGCCACCCACTTTTGTATTAGATTAGTCTTATGAAAATGTAGTTGACATGTACTTGCTTAAGTTAGTAGATGCCACACTTTGTACACTGTACAATTGTTGCTCAATAAAGTTATCTGTGATTTTATCTATTCACGGAACTGTCTTATCTAGATCTGCGTGTATCTGCATGTATCTTTGGCCCTAATGAAAAGGATTTCGGCGATATTGATGAAAAGACACTTCATTAGCGAGCTGATTTTTTTTGTAATTTGTTGAGGAGGCATCGCTTTTATTCTAATCTGAACCTCATTTTGCATAACTTGTTTTGAGTATTTTACAACGAAGACGTCATCGATACTGTCTAAGCAGTATTATAGTATACAGAAGTTTTCTTTACACAACCAAGATCTTGGTTGTGTAAATAAAAGAAAACTTCTGTACCCTATACTTTACCTAGCCTCCATAGCATGCCAAAAACTGGGGGTTTTGGGGGTCTTCAGGGCCTTCGGGAGCTTTTATGTGCTATTTTCTGATTGCATATACTAGTAGACAACATAGCGGGCCTGATTGAATTACCCCCGTTTTTAGAACTGGGTTAATCAGAAAACAGCCCAAGACCACCAAACCCCCAGTTCTATAAGCCTGCTACGGAGGCTATACTTTACCAACCTGATGAAACTATTTCCGGCAGTATTATAGCGATGTGAGTCCCAGTGCAGGTGAAGATGTAACAGATAACTTGTCTAACACAGGGGTGTTTGACTGATAAGATAACACAACGTAACGATATGTATCTTCATCCATGCAAATGTGATAATGATGTACTCTCCAAGCAGAGGTTTGGGTTTTGGGGTATTTTTAACGTGTTTTTAGGATTTTTTTATCGGGGTTTCCCAGGTCCAAAAACCGAAACCTCTACTTGGAGAGTAATAATGATGCTGATCGGTTCTTTTTTGCCACCTTATTTGAGTGCCACTGTCAGCATCTGCTTGGGAATAGCGATTTCATTTATTTTGGAGGCAATTTTATTATGATTACGGCGAACATATTATAAAACAACATCGATTCGAGAAATTTGTTTGCCAGGCATATGAAGCTCATTCTAGAGGGATGACGTAGTCTCTACCAGGCTTCGGGAGGCGGCTGGAAAGATTAGAAATTTGCCAAACAGAGAGATAACATGCCAGGGGAGTTGGTCCGCTAGAGAGCACATCTTGCCGCACCCGCATGTTGTCTCTCTATTTGGCAATTTTCTAGGCTTTCCAGCCATCACCCGAAGCCTGGTAGAGGCTAGGGATGACGTACTAGTATCTGTGAGGGAATGAACCGGATGTGACGTCATGCATGACTACCTTGGTTCCTCATGTTTAGTAATCTCCAAGCAGATCCCTTTCGGTGGCAAAAAGACAGTATCAAATTGGCCAGGCTGTATCCATTAGCCAGAGAAGGTCGCCGGCCACCGACGGGATTAGCGACAAAAAACGGCCATACATAGAAAGCTAACGATCATTCCCCCACAACCTCTGCTTGGAGAGTACATGTTTAGCCTGATGACACACAGGTGTTGTTTTCAGAAGGACGGCAAATGTCACGGGCCTATTTTATGGTTCATCGGTGACCGAACAGGAATTAAATCAGCGGCCGTCGCCGAAAGGTCGAGAACAATACCACCTTGTCATCGCGCTGACGTCACACTCACATGGAGCCCGGGGGCCCAAAATAAAGGGTCATCGGTCGCTTCTGTTGACAAGTTGAGCTAGCCTCTACCAGGCTTCGGGAGGCGGCTGGAAAGAGTAGAAATCGTCCAAAAAGAGATATAACATGCCAGGGGAGTTTGTCTGCTGGGAGAGAACATTTTGCCGCACTGAATGAGTGCAATATACTAGTATAGTATATTACCCGGGTAGGGCAAAATGTTCTCTCCCAATAGACAAACTCCCCTGGCATGTTATATCTCTTTTTGGCCGATTTCTACTCTTTCCAGTCGCCTCCCGAAGCCTGGTAGAGGCTAAAGTTGAGCCGAAATAGCGTTTACAAAGATTATACTTCAGAAGCGGCTGAAGAGAGTAGAAACTGGCCTAAAAGGCATGCAGAAAATGTTCCAATAGAGTTGGTACGCTCTGAGTGGCAAACTGTACTCCCTACTTAGCTAGCTGACAAACTTTTCTGGCATGTTATCTGTCTATTTAACAAGTCTCTACTCTTTTCAGTCGCTTCTGAAGCCTGGTAGAGGCTATATTAGAAAGCCGAGGCGTTTGAACGACTTTTTTTTCTCACTGACGTTATACATTGTTATAGTTCTAGTTATAAAGGTTAGAGGTCTATGGTGCACATGCGTCAAATGTGTGCGTTGCGAAAGTTCTTCAACATTTTTGTATTGGAGATAGGCGTTCAAAAAGAAGGAGGAGGGCAGATAACTTTACAATCTTCGGCCCTTAATATGTGTCGTCTCTACCAGGCTAACTACGCTGGCTATATACTAGTATAGGAGAACATTTGCCAGGGGAGTTTGACCACCTTGTAGGTTTGACAGGCCGCGCAGGGAAAGAAAGTACCTCCCCGCGGCCGGACTCCCTTGGCCAATTTTACTCTCTTTTTTGCCGAATTCTAGTATATCTACGATCCGTATTCCCGTAGAAAGACCTGATGGAGGCTATAATATGTGCATGGAGATCCGAAGGCTATGTGTTAACACAGATGCCAGCATACTACCAAACCACCCCTATCCATTTCACTACGCACGGGCCTAGCACTTGAAACAGATACTCTTGGTTTCAGCGAGCACGGGCCACCATTCAGCACACGCTTAGGAAACCACGTATTTCCCCATTAGCCCCACAAAGACGCGTGTGTTGTGCACCGTCAGGTAATAGACAGGTATGTCATTAAGTCCATTCCCAGGTTATTAAGGACAACATTACCATACAGCTGGGTGTGCTGGCATGTGTGTGCGGAGCGTGGGAACGGCCCGCCCCGAGATGTTGTCAGCTCACTCGACTGGAGTCCGCCGCCTGGGGGCAGTCGTTAACTCACCTGTGAGGTGGCAGAACACAGTTTTCGTCCTATGGAGATTTCTATACTGTAGTTAAGGAGCCCTAAGTGAGAAGGTTCGACGCTGTAAAATTTATAGTAGGGTGCACAAGCGAGTTACAAAAATTTGATATATTTGCGTTCAGGGCACAACCTACAAAATATGTGAAAACCAGCTCAAGCTCAGCTCAAAACACTTTTATATTGCGCTTTGCGGGGGTCATGTGAACTGCAGCCGCACAGGATAGGCAACGGTGGATACATGGGGAGGGGGGCAGTCTTTAACTCACCTGTTAACTAGCGGGGTCACTTGGGAAGGACAGGCAATGGTGGGTACATGTGCTGGAAGGGGTTTACCTACTTGGTGCTGAAAGGTCATCAGCTTTCAGTTTACACAGATTCGTCTAGTTTTCCCAGCGAAAAAAACTAATGTTGTCTTTGTGTTACGCAACATTGTCGAGATTTTCAATTATGAAAAGTTTATTTGTTTTACACAGTAAGGTGCAGCAGGTTTTATTTGTTGTGTCAATAAAGAATCTTTTTTAAAGTTGCGGTCCCTTTGAAAGTCAATGTTCATGTTGTAGTTGTCTACTCATATTGTGTTACTAAGTGTTCCCCTCAAGTAGAAGACTGTTCGTAAGAGCCACGAGAGATCAATAGTACGTGTATGAACCAGTGCGTTGAAAGTTACGCTCATTTATCTGCATTTTCCCTCAATTAGAAGACTGACCAATATCTTAAGCTTAAGAACTGTGAAGAATACACGTCACTGTGTACCCTTATGAAACCAAGCTCAATGTTAATTAATGTGTGTTCTTCTATATCCCCGTAAATTTGTATCTGTCCCTATGCTTCAGGGCCACGTGCATGACGTAACGGAATGATTAAATGTCACTCTTCCATGTACATGTAATAACGCGTGCATTCCTATTGTTCCTGTGTGGAAACAAGACCAATATTTCTGAATATATGTCCGTGTCGACTTTTACTAACAGAATAGACAAACTTTGTCGTTCACCGTTAGCATCACATTGAATTTACTATGTGTCTAAAATTCATGGTTTGTAGTGAAAATATGGAAACTGTCAAATTACTTCAATGACTAATACACAACAACACAGACAAGTTGTAAGTTTTTATCCTTTTTAATGTGAAAAAGCAGTCACCATTCACAAGGATAGAGTGCACAAAGGCAGCAGCTTAGAACGACAAACATACAAACATGTTTCTTGTATCAAATATAGAGCGATCATTACAGTATATACAAGTTATGCTACAAGCAGAGTCTCACAGAGTTCACCACGGTCTCCACATCTTTTCCGACTCGTTGACGGGAGACGCGGACTTGATGTGAGCGGGGCTGAGGGCTGTGTGCGCCGAGGCGAACTGCTGTGTCGGTACGGTCTGGCTGACGCTGTTCTCGACGGTGTTCAGTCCGTATACGGGTGAGGGCGTAAGTCCGTGTACGGGCGAGTGCTCGGCGGGGATGTTGACGTGAACGTTGTTGACGTACAGGGGAACCAGGTGCTGGGTGGGTGCCTGGCCGGGAAGGAGCACAGCAGCAGCGCCGTGTGGTACGCCACCGTACACCGTCGCTGGTACGGTCGGGAGGGGGGACGCCTGGTGCCCGGGGAGGTAGCCGGTGGTTTCGGGGGCCTGTAGCCGGATGGGCTGACCGTGCTGGCTGGTGTGTACAGCGGGGTCTACCCTCTCCAAGTGGTTGAGCAGCTTCTGCCTGACCTGCGGCTCCACGCCGTCCACCGTGCCCATGAAGCGGGCCACCTCGGCCCGGCAGCGGCTGTAGCCCGCCCGGTACCTGCCCAGCGCCGCGGGGTCGGCGGAGGCGGCGGCGGCCATCTGCTGCCTCTGTAGGCTGCGGACGTGCTTCACGGCGATCTCCAGGATGTCGGCCTTCTCAAGCTTGGAGTGGTGAGGCGCCTAGAGAAAAAAACATGAGCAAAACTTCGGTCAGTCACTTCGATCATACGGGAGAGTAAGCAATCAAAACTTTCCTGTGCAGCAAAGCTAGTCTGGATGTCACGTCTGGCACCCAGGCTACAAATCTAAACTCGAGCAGATCTTTTGGTGGTTACAAGACAGTATAAAATGAAATTTGCCACGCTATATCCATTTGCCTGGCGTAAAAAAATCCATTACAGAAAATGAAAGCCCGACAAAAAGCGAATCCTACACCTCTGCTTGGAGAGGACTACAAACTTACACCTAATCCCCGAACGAAAACAAATAGAAATGAATATCTCACAAAATACATAAAGATACTTACGTTGATGTCATCCTTGACGGTCCCCAGGATGAGGTTCTTCAGCTCGTTCAGACTGTTGTTGATTCTGGCGCGGCGACGTTTCTCCATCAGAGGCTTGGACGACTGGGAGTGAAAATATAGAAAAATTAGATACTGTCTGTCGAGTGTCGTAACATTTTTTTTATTCCGAAACATGTAATCACAAGACGTGGTGACGACACACTCAAGTTCTTTCAACTCATATTAATGCCGACACAAACACAGGGACAGTACAATACTCATTTACACCTGAGCGAAATGAGGAAAGTCGTGTAAAGTGCCTTTCCCAAGGGCACAAGATCGGTGACATGTCAGGACTCGAACCCGGGGCCTCTGGTTCCGAGTCGAGAACGCTGCCGCTGCGCCACACGACCCCACATAACATTGAATACTACAAACGTGTTCAGCAATTATAACAACGGTGCAGAATTATTACACGGTCTTAAAAACGTATGAAATCTCGTACAAAGAAGCGCCGATGCTTACCTTGCGACCCTGGTAAGGGGTAGAGTTTCCGACGACTTTCTCGACAGGCATGTTGACGGTGGCTGTCCGCTTGTTGTGGTCGAAAGCTGGCCTAAAGTTGTCGTGTCTCTGAGAGCGTGTCAGAGTGACGAGTGTGTATGCCTGGGATGGCCGTCCTGCATTTATACCAGTTGCTTTGTTTGTTCCTTTTGTTCTACTTTGCCGACAACGCATACCTGCACTCTCGACCAATCACGCCAAGTGGTCCAATCTGTGCCGCCTCTTCTGATTGGTCGCGATCACCGCGATTGGTGTATAATCACCCCTGATTGGTCAGCGTCACGGGCGTCGTCGGCGTCCGTCCACTGCCGGCTGACATCTGCCGATATGTACCTTATTACCGTGCTAAGCACGTGCCGGGCCCTTTGTCTGACGGTCGGCCGGAGTGTGGGAAAACTCCACCCACAAATCTGATAACCCTCCAGCGGTAAATAATTAGCTGCCTGGGTAAACAAGAAATAACACAACAGATAAGCATATCTACCAGTTACAGACCAAAAACCTACCCAATTTCCTTACAATTACGTTCCCACTCCCACCCTATAACCCTATGATATACTTTGACACATTCTGGGACATTTTTACCACCTGTTGTAGGTAAAATTCTCCTTGTCTGACGTTAAAACCACTTGTTAAGAGTCAAGAGTGTAATAGCTAGCCGCGGGGTGTTCTCCTGTTCCCACGGTCCGACTGTAATGAAGTGTAAACCCGCCTGAAGACAGGTCGGCCGGGGCATGGGGGAATGTCAGACAGGTGCTCCGAGCGACGTGCGTACCTTTTCTTGTGGTTGTCCTTTGTGTAAATACTCGATATATCACAGCACAAATATACAGGTAAACTTATCTCTAAGCAGATCCCTTTAACGTGGCAAAATGACAGTATTAAATTGGCCAGGCAGTATCCATTAGCCAGAGAAGGTCGCCGGTCACGGTAGCGACAATCAAAAAACAACAACAAAAAAAAAACGGCCATATACATGTGTATAAAAAAAGGTAACGATCATTCCCTCACAACCTCTGCTTGGAGAGTACAGGTAAACTACTCGGCGGAAACATGTATGACAAGGACATCGTACTGGGGACGATACAAATGCGTTGTCGAAATTTCTCGTGTTACAGAGGAACAAAACTAGTTCATTCAGTTTGAAGATGAATTTTTGAGATGGCATTATTACTAGCCTAGGTTCCGGCCATCGGTTTTATGACTATCTTGGGTTCCGTACGCTCCATGAAGGCAGAGTGGAGGTAGAACGGAGCGGGTGGGACCCAGGCTTATTATGACCGCGTCCTCGGTCGATTCAAGTCCAACAAGGATTTTCTGTGTCTATAGCTAGAAAGAAACGAAAGCCTTACGGTGGACCTACTCCCCTGGCCAGTAAGGTTTTATTTTTACCGAATTCTATACCATCCTAACCCCCCTTTTAATAGGAAGGCCTTGTGAATGCTAAGTACGCAATGTATTTTACGGGTACGCCAGTTGAGTTTTAACAACATGCCGCATGCCTATAGTAACACCTGCGCGGCTCCTGTAGTTGTTGTTGTTGTTATTGTCCGTGGTTGGCGTGGGCACGCGTTGGACACACGCACGCCGCCGCGCACGACAAGTGTCCCCGTCTGGTGCCCGATTACAGCCCGGTGTCCCTGCAGCAGTCCTGTCGCGTGTCTGTCAGGACTAGCCTCTACCAGGCTTTGGGAAGCGTAGCGGTAGAGTGCTCGACTCGGAACCAAGACGTCCTGGGTTCGAGTCCTGACATGCCACCGATCTTGTGCTCTTGGGAAAGGCACGACTTTCCTCACTTACTCAGGTGAAACTGAGTATTGTCCTGTTCCGTCCTGTTCCGTATTTTGTCCTCTGTCTGTCTAAAATAAGTTGCTATAACTTGAGTTTGCCGTCACAATGTCTAGTCATGAAATGTTGGAATAAAAAAAAATAAAAATAACAAGTGAATGGAGAGATTACATGTCAGGGGGCTGTTTGCGGCAAACTGTTCTCTCTATTTGGCCGATTTCTACGTATACTCTTCTACTCGCCGGTTCACAGTCCGTGTGTCCCGTGTCTACATGTCTGGACCAGGTAACGTTAGATGGATGGAGGGCGCATGCTCGCCACGCGTGGTGCAGACGACAAACGTACGGCATTAATCTCCCAGCAGAGGCGGGAACAGAAGGTCGTTATCTGCTGACTGATACCCGCTTTCTGAAGTCCCAATTCTGTCAGAATGTGACACTATTTCACGTCATCGAGTACATGTACATCAGAAAAATGCACTCGTACTTTATACACTCTCCAGTCAGAGGTTTAGGATTCGGTTTATTTTTGCGTGTTTTGTGCCTTTCTGTCAGACTTTCTGGTACAGGCTAGACATATAACCTCAATGGTACTGGCAATGACATCTTCTTTTGTATGCTGGCATAACTGGCTGGTAAATGGACACTGCTACTGTCTTTGTAGCTACCAAAGGCTCTGCTGAGATAATATACTTTATATAGTACATATACCTGCAATAACAGCATTTATTTATAATCGTAACAAAACGTCCTTTTTCTACTGATCAGTTAATATTTCATGTCATTGGGAAATTCAGACACGGGACTCAAACCTTGACTTAATGAAGAACACCAAAGATCCTATTGTCATCTGTCAAAAAAAATGAGAGATGAAAAAATGAGCAAAGCTAGTCTCGTACATTCTCACGTGTAACATTAGGTCTCGCGAGAAGAAACCTACGGTATAACTTAAAGCACAAGTCTCTGCTCGTCCCGTATTTGGAATTCTCAAAAGACGAACAGCAAATTAAAACCGATGTTCTTTTGTTGCAGCAGTGGAACTTACCTGTGTCTTTTTCCCACCATTTGCCTGTCCCGTGGGATTGGAGAAGCCATTGTCTCCCAAACCGACCTGTTGCCGCCCTTTGTCTCACAGATATCGCCCGCCCTTTCCCACGCGAAGGGCCTTTCTCATGTAAATGTTTCGGAAAGCCGCCTCATTATGTGCTAATTATCAACTCAGTTTTTCACGCGGACACAGAATAGTCTTTTTTTTTCTATTCCAACATGTAATCACCAGACGTGGTGACGGCACACTCAAGTTTTATCAACTTATATTAATGCCGCCACCAACACAGGGGACAAATACATGACAGGACAACTCATTTTCACCTGAGCGAAGTGAGGAAAGCCTTTCCCAAGGGCACAAGATCGGTGGCATGTCAGGACTCGAACCCGTCTCCACCAGACATATACCACACAGAATAGTCTCCACCAGACATATACATGTATTATGCAAGCAAAGTGTATTCTCTATATGGCCGGCCAACTCTAGCCTCTATCAGGCTTCGGGAGACGGCTGGAAAGAGTAGAAATAGGTCAAATAGAGAGATAACATGCCGAGGGAGTTGGTCCTTTTTGCCGCGTGCCAGCCGTCTCTTGAAGCCTGGTAGAGGCTAGGCCAACTCCCCTGGCTAGTTACATTTCTTTTATAGGCCGATTTCTACTATTTATTCAGCGTGCACATGAGTCTGGTGTAGACTAGACACAGAACACCTTCGAATTACAAATACCCCTTTCCTCAAAAGTTTGTCCAATGTTTCTCAGACAAAAATCACAAAGTTATGCTTTATCACCAAGCAGATGTTGAGGTGAACAAGCGTGAGTTACATTTCTATCAGCCAAAATCTGCTTGGAGATTAAGTCATTTAACGTTATATGTGCTTGGTCCAAAGTAGTTTGTAACACATGCATTGAGCCTTCTTCGAAAAGTCAAAATTCAAGCAGGCCATCTTTTTAGAAGTCATAGGTTTGTTACGATTTGTTACATCTGGCTTTCTTTGAAATGTCAAAGTTTATTAGTTCACCTTATGTAAAATCATGGTAAAATCAAGGACGTTCCATCACAGAATCTTGCAGAACGTCCTTGGTAAAACCAAGGACATTATACAAACCAATGAGGTTTTAATTAAAGTTTAGAATAAACCTCCTTGGTATGTTATGATTTGTTTGGATCTTTTATAATGAAACGTTTGAGTAAATACGAAACAGGTATGCAATAGCCTCTCACGGAGGTAAGAATAAACAACCAAAGGTTAAAATGGCGACCTTCTTCAGTACTCATATTTCAAACGGTAGTTACCTAGAATTGCAGGTTGATCTTTGACCTGACTAGGGGGGTGAATGATCTTGATTGTAACAATAGATCAATCAGGGCTGCCAAGTAAAGCGTTTTATGTCCGTACGATGGCTATAAAGAGTTCGAATACCGCATTGACCTTATGACCTTGCAATTGGCGCCTCAAGGTGGAATGATCCAAGATGGCGTCGCGTCGTCATTAAAAGTTTTTGAAGAATAATCTTGTGGCGCTGTTACGAATATAAGTGTTCAGAGAAACTTGAAAACGAAGGATGTTTCTTTGGCACATTGTGTCAAAGAAATATGGGAGAAAATATACGTTTAATTTTGCCCCCCTCCCTCCATCTCGCCACTATTTTACGTCCAATATACTAGTAACCTGTCTGTCTTGACAGTTTGACGTACCATGTAATATGTCTGCACCTAGAAATGAACGTACGGGAGCTACTTGTAGGTGTAAATTTGTAATTTGGTCTGTTAAGTATCTGTACTATATGTTTCTTTTTGAAAGAAAGAATAGCTTTTGTATGCGCATTTTGTATGTGTATGAAAGCTAATGGAGTAATGAAGGATCCAAGCGTCCTGTCACGAGTCTTTCGTATACGTAGGTTTGGAAACAGACCTAGGTACCTACAAACTCGTATGCTTTTGCTTGGTTTACACACGGTTTAACTCTATGTAAATGGTGCAGTATTTTGGGACTGTAGTAAAAACACTAGACCCTACTAAATTTGAATCCTGCACAGTTGGTTTAAAAAAAGTTCACTGGAAAATCATTTAGCGTTATGGAAAAGCGTTCTTGCCATAACAACGCAGATATGACAGCGATGCGAAAACAGGTAGATTTTCTGGTGGTTCGTTTTCTGATCAAAATTAATTACCGGCATAATCTCGTCTTTACACGCGGCCCACCCCGCGGTTTGCTCGGGGATTAGAGAAGGATTGGATATTTGGGCATCTCCGGAAAGCAGGACTCCGCAGTGGTCCC